GCTCCACGATCCTGCAAGTAGACTCATTCGAACGAGTCTCGACGCGATGGTATGCAAATGAGCTGAGTTTGGAAAGTTCCGGAGATTACGCTGATGCGGTGAAAAGAGCAGTTTCAGAGGTAGGCTAAGCATTTTTCAGCTAAAGTTGAAGAAAGCTCCTTTCGCTACCAACTTTATCCTGAAAATTCAAAACTTTCAATTTTCTTGTAATAGATCCATTTCGAAGCTCTAAGACTGTTCTGGTGTTCATAAGAGCCTTCACTCCAGTCACCTCTAAGGCTGCGCTTTTTCACCCCATCCGTATCCGGGATTGCTCAATCGAACTTATATGCATGCCATCGTGTCGAAGAAGTTACGCCCTTTCGAATGAACCCAACTACAGGCTCGTAGATTGCCTGACAGAAGGGTTACAAGCCTGCAAAGGTGCAAGTAAGTGGTGAGGCGCAGGTAGGGTCATGTGCACACATTGTCACGTGTCATTTTCAGCCGAGAAACTCATTAGCACACGTTCGATGATGGAGAATGGTAAAGAGCATCTACTTTATCCAAAAAGCATTGCTTAGATGCCTTGAATAGGTTTCCATGTAAAGAAATTTGCTTTGAAAGAGAAATATAGAAGTTAATTTTTTTTGGAAAAACAAAACAAAATTCAAACTTGCGTTTTTTTTTTTGAATTAACCACTACGTGATTGTTGTCCTCGATGAGATCTATGATATAGTATGCTTACCTGTCCGGAAATCTGTTTTGCTCCAAAAAAGTCCTAAAAGAAGATTTTCGCGTACGAAGGATTATTTTCCGCGACATTGTGACGCGGCCATTTCCAGACTTTTTAGAAAAAGGTTTCTAAAATTTTTAATAATGTTTTCCAGAATGCGCAATGTATGGGTTGCAGCTCTTGATGAGCTCTATCAGAAATTGTAATCCAACCATTTTTTCATCTTTGTTTTCCATCCTAAAATAAACGCTGAAAAAAGGAGGGCAACTTGTCCTCAACTTTTTGGCGGTCACTGTACATGCGCTCGTCATTTGAAATTCGTACGTAGAGTTGCTCTATCACTTTCGCTAGAGATTACAAGAAAACTAGCAAAATGAGAAAAACCTTGAGATTCAATGCACTACGATCGGTATGGCTAACGAATGTATGAAGAGCAAACAAAGCATGTAGAGTTTTCTGTATCTAATCACTAAAAATTACAAATTTGGGAGCAAAAGTTTCGCTCGCGCAGTTAGCCTTTAAACAAAGATGCTTTTCGAAGTACAAGTAATGGATAGAGAATGCAGTATTGAATGATGATAGTTGATTAGCCACAGGTCTTTAACATTTGTTTGTCCTTTGGAGAAGGACAGATTCATACAGAGGTTTCAAAGCTGCGAAGTGTGCAAGCAATCACCTCGTTCAATGGTGCCATCAAGCCTCGATGGTTTTTCGTGGAGAAAGGAGAGCTTCAAGAAAAGGTCCGCGTATTCGAGATGAATTATTGGTGCGGTTGCTACAAGGTACTGAAGTTGTAACCGAAACAAAGAGTGCGCTGAGCTAAGAGCACAACCAAGGCACACTGTTGTTCAAACGACTACGTCTTCATGGATCTTTTTCCTATAGACAGCGTTTACATGCCGTGCTCAGGCATCGTGGCAACGCCAAAGCCGGGATAATCAGTATACTCTTCCCAAACAAAAGCTCCTTTAACTCCGCTATAATATGACAAAGTCCCATCAACATTTTTACATGCACTTTAAGGTATTGAATTTGAGAAAAAAAAAGTTTGTTAGGCGAGGAACCCGCGCCATTGTCATTGGTCACTTCTAACATGGAGCGTTGCACGATCATCTTGAGGTATAAGCGACTGCATATTGGAAGATGCGCCTCGCCGAGCTGAGTTGAATGGTACTCTTATATATAGAATTCATGAATTTTGGAACAAGATAAGGTCTTTTTTTATAAAAAGTTAGGCGTTGCGCGACAAAGTTAGGCGACAAATGCCGCTTTTCCGCCGACTTTTGTCGCGCGACGCGGCGTTTGTCACCTAACTGCGGCGGCGCCGCGTAAGTTAAGTGCCGCCGCCATTTTTTTTTTCACAAATTACGGGTGGTATTGTATTTGCTCTGACCGAGCACGCTTATAAACAACACTATAGAAGCTTTCCGTTAGCACAATTAATTTTGTTTCACATTTTTACAAAAGAATGGAATCTATCAAAACACGCCTAAACAGTAGACCACTACGTATAAATTTTCTGTCAGGAGACAAAGAGAGACAAAAATATAACGTTTGATTCATTGTTTTTGGTGGCACGCTAAATATACATCAATAATCAATTCAGTCAATCAATACTCGTCACATATCGCACGTGACGATGAATTTCCAAAACAGGAAAGTTGAGAAAGCCAGGTTTTGAAACGAAATGCAAATGGCATGGTTTTTGAAAGGTGAATAAAGCTCAGAGCTCAGTGACTAGAAGGGCTGAAATGGTACAGAAGACGGATTTCGGGCTGACAGTTTCTCCACATGACAGTTTTGATTATACGCAGCTTATTAGTATTGGCCACTGCTTACAAATCCTTTATCAGTCGTTTTGGCGACCTTGGAGGAACAATTTGGGGAAGTGTAGCATGCCACATAACTCTCAAGAAGTTACTAATACTTCAGTAAATACTAATCATAACTTGTAAAAATGTGCTGATTGAAGGAATTGTTTACATTTGCCTGTTGTGAATTTTCGTTTCTCACAAATTTTGTGGAGCGAGCTGTAGCCATACTGTTGAGTCCAATCTTGCGCAGGATATGCCGCCAGTATATATAGGGTCCCTAATTACAAGGACGAGCCCATCCGATAAACGGAGCCTCAAAAATTTGGCAGTCAATAGTTCAATACGGCTTTTAACCAACACTAGTTCGGTAACCAAACATTTGTAAAGCTGTGGATTGTGGGAAAGGTAAATTTGCATGCATGAACTTTGGCCGAAAGATTGACAAGGAATTTTTCTACAAAAACGGCACCGAAGAAGAATGATTGCGTAGATCATTAGTTTGTCATCGTCGACCTATCAAACTAACAAGGGAATTGTATTCAGTCAAAGTAGCTCTCCTGAATTTTTACACCATTTTGTAGACCACTGAATCTGATTTCAGATCTGTCCCTGCTACCTGCTATGTGCCTGAGTACGCCGAGAGTTGTGCGCATTTTTTGCAGCTAAAGATCATTGCAGGATCAAGATAAAATCAATTTTCTCCATCTCTACAGCAGGCAAGTCGCGCAGCTTCAAATTTTTTTAGAATTAATTTTTACTAGTTTTGCGCTAATTTCGCGTTCAGTGTCGCAACACATTTATGAATCGGCGTCTGCAGGCGAGCAGCTGATAAAGAAGGTAGATTTGACATCAAAGTTTAGTGCTTTTTCAAGTAAGATTGCATCTGAAAAGCCCCTTACGCTAGATACACTTCCATTGCGAGAGATTTCTATTTGGAGATGTGGCGCACGGCTTTATCGTATGATAGGCTACGCAAAGCGCTCTGCCTGTTTATAAGAACAAATTTATCAGATCTTGACGTCATACCATTGTTTTTTGTACTCCCTCGCTGTCAAAAAATTGTCGTGAGCGGCCACAACTCTGTTTCTACACGCGAGGAGCCGATGTATGACGACAATCAAACCATGAAAATTTCATTATCAACCCAGATTCGCTTTTGTTTTGCTTCAGCAAAATTTGGCTTTCATGCCTCACCATGTTTTACAATACCGGTTCACTTCTTGTCTCAAAAGCGAAGTCCACTCTGCCTGCAAGACTTCCGCGCCGAGCCAATGCGGTCAAATTTCGCGAAAAATGCAGGCGAATCAAACTTTCGTGGAATAGTTACAGCTCTCTCCTAAATCTTTGCTAGAAGGCTATGTTTGCGAAGGCCACAATATTCGTAAACAGCGTTTCCGAAAACCTCTATGAGCGAAGTTTTCTTGCATCGAAGATCTCAACATTTTGACTAAAACTTCAGGGTGTAAAACGAGAAAATCAAATAACCCGAACTTTCTGAAAACTTGCTCATAGAGTTTGGCTAGAATTGGGTGGTCGGGACAACGCGAGTTTTGCGTGATTCAGCAGCTTCTCTATCCCTTTGAAAAAGAGTCCTCCGGCTGCTTTTTCGCGCTTAATAATCTACGGAAACAGCACTATCATATAGCGCTTCTCTCATATTTTATGTGTGATGCGCATTGCGTTATAACTTTGCGAAACGACCGTAGAATAATTCGAAAAAATGGAAACGGAATGTCAGACACATGCTGTATATTAAAAGATGCGCCTTGTAGTACAATGTAATTCTTTAGAATATATTCACTACGAAAGAAGTTATGGCGCTGTGTAGTGTGGACTCGCGTGAATCCTCGAAATTTCTCGGAATTCCAGGAATTTCGCGGAATTCCGAGAAATTTCTAGAAATCGAAACATTCATTAAAATTTTTCACGCTATGTGAGCCGTATTGTATGTCTAGCTAGTTTTTGCACCACGCTGGAATTTCAATTAATGTTGAGAGATATCTCTTTCTTGAAAATTGCTATTATCCCTTTGCCATACGGCAACCAACAACATTCTTTCATAGGTAGCCAGTGTTTAGTTAGAAGTGTTCCCAGCATCCTTAGAAAATTACAATGTGGTTGGCTTTCTTGATCAACCCCGGACCGTTGTTAGCTAGGGATGCGGTAGATGCTACATTCTTCACCATCTCCAGTAGTGACTGTTAAGCTTTCATTATCTTGAGAGGAGGCAAACAATTTGATGAATTTATATAAGAGCCGGCAAAACAAGCGAAAAGTGGCCGGTGCTCGCCGCCGTGGTCTAAAACATATGAGTGCAAAGTTGCGTTGACTCACATGCTTAAGTTTCTGTTCTAAACACGGGAATGGTTCAATCACAAACTTTTAGTTTTATAAGAATAAAGATTGGACTTCACTCACAACCGCAATTGAGATGAATGTATTCAAGCTACCCCATATGTTTGAAACATACTCTCTTTGCAGTATAGGTACTACATTCGTAAAGGTCCAGTTTATGACAATTTCTCTCATTGGTCTTGCTCGTTCTCGGAACTCCAAGTGCAAGCTCACTTTTGGACGTTCTGCAAGGAAATTCACCGTCTTAGTCTTGTAAGTCTGTAGTAAGATTTTACCGTAAGGGTTCAGAACCATAAGGTAGTAACGACATCCACCAATATACGTGTAATTTCCGCTGTCGGAGGAATTCACCTCTTTAGAAATATTGCCATCGCCCTCGAATTCCCAACCACGTTTTCCAAAAACAGTATGTATAAAATCCACTTTCTAAATCACAAATGCATTTATCTAGAAACACAAAATAAGTTAAATCTAAACACCTATGCACGTACATCTTCGCTGGAGAAAGGAGGAGATGTGAAGGGAGGTAACTTGTCGCACTAATGTCTCCATTCTTTTTTTGTCTTTATCTTATAAACGTTCTTATGCCATGGTAAGTGAAATTAATGGTTGGAAAGGACATTACCATACGAGCTGTGATTATCCCTGTTTTGTGCCATTCTCTTAATGATCAACAGTGAATCAGCCCTTGTTTTCGAAGAATTTTATCTTTCCACCAAATCGAGTACATTGTAAAGCTGTACTGTGAATCTATTATGGCATCTTTGTAGCGAGAAAGTCAATTCTCAATTCTGGAAGCTTCCACTGTTCGCAAATTGAAGTTCTTTTAGAAACTCCATCTTTATATTAACAATTATATTAACACTGCAAGCCGTGGTAGGGCAACGAATTCGAACGAGTCCGAGAGGGATCAGCTAATTGCCCAGCTGCACTCGATAATCGTGAACTAAGCATCTGACGCTCCCCCTGTTTGAGAAACTGTTGACGTTTTCAATACAGACCCAAATACCATTGTGGAAGCAGAGAAAAGATGCAGGTCCTTGGTCATCTGTGGTGTCGACGAAGCGAGGAATGATGCTGCTCCCTCTGAGAAGCAGAAACATACTGATACAGCTGTTTCAAAAATCCTTCATGTTTTTGAAGTGGAAGCTCGCCCAACGAAAGTGTACCGCATGGGCTCCTCCACTTCAGGGAGACCTAGACTCCTAAGTATTTTTTGCCCTCGCAACGATTTGTCTTCAAAGCATTACGGAATGCTGCGAAACTACGCTCCTTAGAGACGGTCACAACCAAATCTTTATAAGAAGGTCGATGACCCGAGAGGAACGCGCTAGAGACAAAGAGTTGCGAAAAAAAGCACATGAAATGAATCTAGAGCATAATGGCGTAAAAATGTATGTGGTGTATAGAAATGAGGTAGTTAAGGCTTCTGATATTCCAAACATAGGAAGCATCTCTTTCAAAAAACTGAAATTGTTTGCTTCAGATAAATTTTTATGCCTTTTGTTTAATGCCAGAAGCTCACCAACAAATTTCTTGAGCTACATCACCTCCTTTTTTGTATAAAACCTATGAGTGTTTATTACTGGGAGTTGGCTAACATCGAATGTTTCTCATACCCTCGATACATAGAGCCACGTACTCTGGTAACCTTCACTTTGAGGGCTATGAGGGAACACAACCTTCACCTGGAAAAATAACAGAAGTCATCCGGGGCGAAACCCCGGATGTTATTATTCTGACTACATGGGAACGAATGTTAATGAAGTAAATATAGGGAATAATATCTTTAATCTCAGCGAAACCGAGAATTTGCGTTTTCATTGCCTTTTTTACGTTAGAAAGGAGGTTTATGTGAAATTTTCGCCAGAATTCAGGACTAAATTCCTTAGCTAACCTCTCATTTGACTAAAATAGAGTTTCAGAAGTTTAGGAAAGCTGTTGGAGTCAAACAAAAACGAGAAACTGCGCTTAAATTTGCGCAGAGAGTCGCGCACGAAAACGCCAGTTTATCACGTTAATGAGTGACTTTCAAAATTTGGGACGTTGTCAGTTCTCCTCGTCGTGTTATGACGATCAGAATGATATATAATGTTGCAGGGTTTTGTTGAGACCCCGCGGAGATCTACGACCAGAGCCAAATGCCCCGCGCCCCGCGTTTGGGGTAGCGAGGTAGCGCGCAGCGTGCGGAGACGCAGACGAGCAGCGGAGACAGACCAGAGCCAACGGGGTTTGGCTCTGATCGTAGATCTCCGCGGGGACGCAACGAAACACTGCAACATCATATATTGTTCTGATCGTCATGACACGACGAGGAGAATGACAACGTCCCAAGCTTTAAAAATCACTCTTTAACAAGATAGGCCAGCGTTTTCGTGCGCGATTCTCTGCGCAAGTGCAGTTTCTCTTTTTTTGACTACAATAGCTTTTCTAAACTTCTGAAACTCGATTTTGGTCAAATGGGTTAACTGAGAAATTTTGTCCTGAATTCTGGCGAAAATTCCAAAGAAACCTTTTTAACGTAAAAAAGGCTATGAAAACGCAAATTCGGTTTCGCTGAGATAACCCAAAGGGTTATTCCCTACATTTGCTTCATTAACATTCGTTTCGATATAGTCAGGATAATAACATCAGGGGCAAAGCCCCGGATGACTGTTTTTTTTTCAGGCGAAGGTTGTGTTCCCTCATAGCCCTCAAAGTTACCAGAGTACGTGGCTTTATGTATCGAGGATATGGGTAACCCCATTTTGGACATCGTTCTTGCTTCTCCAGGCCTTGTCTGCTTCGAGGGGACTTTACCTCCCCTTAGTGTACTGAATGCAATAGTCAAATTCACCTAAGAAATGCCAAAAATCAAGTAATGCGCAAATTTAATGCGGGATTTTGTCTGCTGATTTTGCTACCATCAATAGAATAATAGCAGCCATTATTTGGCTCCAAGTATTTGATTAGGTTGATACTGTTGTCTACTCAAGTTTTCTCGCAGTATTATTAGGTTGGCGAATAATTTCTGTTACACTTTTTTTCGTAAAATTCTGGAAAGTTTCAGAAGTTCTCTAGAATCTTCAAAGTTGCTCCATATGTAGGTCACTGCAGGGCGTACACAACAGTATGACTGGTGCCGCACATGCACAATTAGTCAGCGACTTTAGGACAACTTTATAAGAACGCTCAAAATTGTCATTTTTTCTTTAATTTTTTCTCTGCGTCTATTGTGTTTTTTCTCTCCCATAATTTTTTCAGAACATATTTCCGCATCCTCTCTTTTATGGTAGCAATTTGGGCCACTAGCACGCCAAAACAAGGGGTAAAAAACAACTCAAAAAATCAAAAATTAGTCGAAAATTTTTCTTTTTGTGTACATCGTGTAGGATTTGATACGTAAAGATTGGAAATAATTTTTGTAGTTCTTTAAAAGATGTTCTTCATGTCAAAATGCGAATGTGCGCTGACATGGCGCAACACGTAGCTCATGTGATCGTGTGCGGACATGATTGCGCCATCCCCCTATGTTCGCTAAAAACTATGGACCATACCCTGCCCGAATACCACATCGCCCGGTCACTTCCCAATTACCTAGAAGAATGCCAACCCGCTGACAAATGTTCATAAAATGTACTCCCACCGATAAAGTGGTTTGCGTATGGACCGCCGATCTGACGGTACTGGCGGGTAGACCTTTGCACCCCGCCAACACTCCTCAAACATAAAAATTTTCAAAACTTTCCTAGATTTTCAAAAAATAAAAATAAAAGTGTAACAGAAATTATCCGCCAACCTATTATACAATTTGGTTGAAACTTACGCCCACTGAAAAGGCATCACGGTTTTGTTATCAAATATCTTCCCCATATATTAGGTTGTCCGGAAATTAATGCTCGTTTTGAATTTCAACCGCAATAAGTCATGCACTTTTTATTTCTAAATAAGTTGCAAAGTACCATTCGATAAAGCAAAGCAAGCTCTACAAGAGGGCCATCTTGCTTTTGCAACAGCTCTCATCTACCTCGAGTTTTGAGCCAAAAACTAAAAAGACGCAGCAGCCCGAAAAATCGAAAAAAAATTGTAACTCAGTTCATAAAAATCCTACGAAAATTCTTACTTGCTCACGTAAACACTATCTAAATAAAACATCTATATACGCCTTTGCCGTATTTTTTCTTCTGTTAGGAATCAAGAAAACGGAAATTTTCATGCATTTGCCAAAGTGATGTTGTGCGATTCCCACATAGGTAGTTGTATACCACAAGCCTGTAGAAGTACAGACTCAAATTTTCAGTTCTCTACAAGCTTCAGTTCTCGAGAAATACCGAACATAGCTTTCCCTAGTTAGCTGGCCCAAGCTAAAATCCAAATTTCTCGAGAACTAAAGCTTATAGAGAGCTGAAAATTTACGTTTGTACTTTTACAATTTTTTTTCGATTTTTCGGGCTGCTGAGTCTTTTTAGTTTTCGGCTTGAAACACGAGGTGGATCAGAACTGTTACTAAAGCAAGATCGCCATCTTGTAGAGCTTGCTTTGCTCTACCGAATGGTACTTTGCAACCTATTTAGATGTGAAAAGTGCATGACTTATTGCGGTTGAAATTCAAAACGGGCATTAATTTCCGGACAATCTAATACTAAATCTTCTGCATCAAAATAGGAGACTCTTTCTCTCTAAAATTCCCACTAACTGTGAACAATACAAAACTGTTTGCCAGACCTTTTCTCATCATCTACAACGTTTTTGGGATTACAAACAAATAAAAGTGGCGAAGAATTATAACATGCGCGCTTTTTTAAAAATGATGAGCTATCGTATTTCCAAATCCAAAGTTGGTGCCGCTATTCTCGATGATGACGGGCACACCCTACTCTCATTTTTAGAATATAATGCTTTTGAATGTTTCACAAGTGCTTTAGCACTTGCCTGGAAATTTCCCAGTTTGACTCTTTAAGTGGTAATGTGTTTCCCAATCCAGTTTTCTCTCATACTGAAGTATACATACGTTTAAATATGATCGAACCCTCGATGTCATGCGCTTCCAAGGACATATGGCCTTCTTCTACAAGAAGTGCCCTGAAAGCCTTTCCTTGCCTTTAACGCATATCTTTATCATTTCTTTGATGACTGGGAATGTCCCAAGAATCCGGAAAAGAGCTATGGTTTTGCCCATGCCAAAGTGTGCATGGCAAAAAAGGATTCCGAGTTTAGGCCAATTAGCATTTTGCCCACGCTGTGCAAGATCATAGAAGAAATCTTGGCAAACTATCCTAAAATAATGCTTAGAAAACCACCCTCTACCCGACGAACAACATGGATTCATACCCGGCTCCTCTACATCTACACAACTGGTAAAATGTTGCCAAGATTGGATTATGGCACTTAGTGAAGGCAAATCAGTTGATATTACATATTTCGACTTAAGTAAAGCATTCGATACT